CAGCAAAGAGCAGGGCCAGTGAGTCAAAGGTATGCTTTGGAAATGTATACAGTAGGTGTGCGGGGGGGGTGCAAGGGCTTGTAGGATATGGCCTTGTACTTTTGATGAAACAGAGGTAACCAACTACAGGTTGCCAGCATGTGGGTAAAGGGTTCGGGAAAGGAGATATAGGTAGGTAAGGGTAGGTAAGTCACCTTTACTCAAGACTCCCAGGACATGAGAGATACGCGCAACCCTGGCAGAGAAGTGAGCTGGGGACAGTTGCAGGCGCATCAGGGTGCCAAGCGTAGCTTGCTCCAAGCAGTACAGGACATCGAGACAAAGGACCTCAATCACAACCTTGAAAAAACAGAGAGCTGATATACGTATCACCAGAAACACTACTGGGTATCAGAGAGGTTCAGAATCAGTCAGCAAGGCCCATGAAAGAACGATATTCAGGGGTCGTTTGGAAGTGAATCCAACAGGACCACGTATGAGAAAATTTGGTAGGGTTATCCAGAGAAGAAGCAATTAGCTCTTCCATCTCAGCAATTCTGTTCAAGCATATGAACCTATCTCGCACTTTGGAGGGGTGAACAGACCCCCAGAGAACCGGTAAGCAGAGTTTAGCCGCGTTAAGCATATGCATAGCCAGAGATTTGAAATATAGACGTTTGGGAAGCGGAGTGTTGTGGAGGAGGAGTTGGGCCGGAGAGAACTCAATATCAAGAGTAGACACCAAAGAAGTAATCCGATGTACCTCCTGCCAAAAGGGCTGAACCACCAGATATGAAGAAAAGATCCAACAGGAGCCCCACGTCTCCAACAAATACTGGGTCTGGATGGATTAAAATGATGGATTCTAGAAGGTGTATTGTACCAACGTGTCGCCAACTTGTATCTGTTTTCTTGTGCCGAAACATTCAAGGAGCACTTATGAGAAAACGTAAAGATTTGGTCCCAATCAGAGGAAGAAAAGTCAATGTTTAAGTCTCTTTTCCAAGCTTTGCAGGCAGGAAGTGAATCAGAGGTTCTGTCACCAAGAAGAAGCAGATAGGTAAATGATACTAAATGCCTCCGTGGTTCAGCTTTCAAACAGAGTGACTCAAAGGAGGTGAGAGGGCGGACCCATTTATGGTGATATGAAGGAGAGAGAAGAAAATGTCTGATTTGAAGATAGGCCCAAAAGGGAAAGGTGAGATCACCCATAGTACTTGCCAGGGAAGGACAAGACTTCAGCTGACCTTTGTGAAAAAAATGGTTCACCAAAACTTGACTATGTGGCCAATGTGCTGATGGAAAGGACTTATGCATACCAGGAGGGAAGTCCGGATTGAGGCGAAGAGAAGTTAGTGGGTTGGGGGCATCCGAAATGGAGGCCGATTTACATGCTAAACAAAAGGTTTTAAGGGAAGGACCGATTATTGGATGTAGGAGGAGGTCTTGAGGAATGTGTTTGGTCAGAGGCCACGGGATCAATGCCAAGGGGGAAGTGGAACAAGAGTGTTCCAGCTGGACCCACGCTTTGGTGGTAAAGTGAATATTCCAATCGATTATCCTAGTAAGATGACAGGCCCAATGGTAAAGTTGCAGGTCAGATAGTCCAATCCCCCCTTTGGATTTGGGGAGCACAAGTTGGGAGAAAGAAATACGTGGCCGCTTATGATTCCAGAGAAAAAGAGAGCACATTCTTCTGCATGAAACGAAAAAGGCGGGTGGTAAATGGATAGGTAAGGTTTGAAATAGATAGAGGAGGCGCGGGAGGATATTCATTTTTAGTATAGCAGCCCTACCAAACCAGGAGAAGCATGGGCGATGCCACCTAGTTAGGTCTGCTCGGAATGCACCAAGGGTTGGAAGAAAGTTTTTGACATAAAGATCAGAGAGGTTACTCGTAAGCTGTATTCCCAGATAGGAAGGGAGTCCCTTTCCCATTGAAATGGGAACTGTGACTGACAAAAGGAAACCAGGTCTGGAGGAAGAGTAATGTTTAAGACATAGGATTTGGAATGATTAATTTTGAGGTTCGAGATATATTGAAAAAAGGAAAAATCCTTAAGTAGGTTGGGCAAGGTAATCCGGGGCTCCATCAAAAACAAAAGAATGTCGTCTACGTAGGCAGCAAGTTTGTATTCCTTGTTCGCCACGGAAATACCCCTGATATCTGGGTTTAAGCGGAGTTTGCGTAACAATGGTTCTAGTGATATCACAAAAAGAAGTGGGGATAGGGGGCAACCTTGGCACGTACCATTCCCAAGAGGGAATGGATGAGATAGATGCCCATTCACACGGACCTGAGCCGTTGGACCAGAATACAGTGCCATAATGAAATTGAGCATGGTGTCCCCTAAACCAATAATTCATATTGTGTTGCGCTCCCAGTGAAAATATCTGTGATGTAAATAACTCTATTTACCCTTGGTAAACAAATATATAGTCCAGTGATTGTGCAAGAAATAAAAAATATATATTGCTAAAAAATCATATATATTTTCCACTAATATATGTGGAAATAGTATCCCCAGAAACAATAAGTGATAAAATAATGTGTACTATAACATATCTATAAATAAATCAATATGCATCATGATTAGTAAATATTCAAAAAAATATATAAATAACTTAAAAATATATATATATGATCTGCAAATTAATTAGTGATATAAATGTCCTTTAAATTCAGTGACTTTGTGCTTGATTAAATCTTGATTTGGTGACTTATTGTGAATCCGTGACTTTCTTTGAATCCTTAATTAGTGAAGATGTATGCTCACCTCCTTCTTAGCCTGCAATTAGGCTATACACACTTGTGGTTCACCTCCTATGGAACCTGCTTAGATGGAATTCCTCCTTTACAGATTGTGAAAACGTGGATATCCGTTATCCTCAATTAGCCCATATGCATTTTTCCATCTGCATTGAAAAAGGTGAAAGTCCTGCCCCGGGCTCTGAGGAACACTTCCCGATCTTCGGACATGGCCTTAGATGAACAGATGAGAGGACAAACCAGCAAGCAAGAAATCCAGTCTATGCACACGATGCTAGTACTGTACTTCCTGCTTTATTCGGCGATCTGTTTCTACTGCTAAACCAATCACCTGTAGGGATGCCTTTAAGTAATCCCAGGACACCCTATCAAAAGCCTTCTCGGCATCTAGGGAAAGAATAAACCCTGGAATGCGAGAATCATGAAGTCGGTGGAGAAGGTTAAGAGCCTTGATGGTGTTATCCCTTGTTTCCCTTCCGGGATGAAGCCCACTTGATCAAGGTCAATCAGGGAGGGTAACAAGGGAAGGAGATAGTTGGCTAGGATCTTTGCATAGATTTTGATGTCTACGTTCAAAAGAGAGATAGGTCTATAATTGGTAACCAAAGTGACATCTTTACCTCCTTTGTGGATGACAATGAAATGAGCTTCCAGGAGGCGATGATGTTGCGTGGAGGGTGAAGAGAAAGTGTTGAAGGCGGAGAGGAAGGGTCCACTCCAAATATCTAGAAACTCCTTGTAGTATGCCACAGAAAGACCATCAGGGCCCCGGCTTTTACCAGGTTTCATTTGCTGGATGGCTCGGGAGAGTTCCTCCTCCGTGATATGATGTTCCAAATCCTGAACAGTATCATCAGGTACAGTGGAAGGACTATAGAGGCGAAGAAAGTCAGAGATTAAAGTGTCTCTATGCTTATTGCCCTCAGAAGGGCGACGTTCTGGAGGGAGATTGTATAATGTTTTGTAGTATTGCTCGAAGTGAGATGTTATATCCACATTTGAGGTGGCCAAAGAGCCATCCGAGCCCCTAATCTTGTGAACCGTTAAACTTGACTTTTTTGTCTGGAGGGATCTAGCTAAGAATCTCCTGATTTGTTAGCAAACTCATAAAAAAGTTTTTGCGACAAAATGAATCTGCGCTTAGCTGTTTTGCCTAGTTCATTTAAGAGCTGTGTGCGGGTGTCCGTAAGATCAGATAAAGTCGAGGCGGCCTGATTATGTTTGTGCGCCTTTTCCAGGAATTTATGCGATGTAAGAGTTGTTGTAAGCGAGTCTATCTCTCTTTTTTACGTTTTGTAGCCATAGCTATTAGGACTCCTCGAATGATGCATTTATGTGCCTCCCATTGAGTTAACGAAGATGTATCTAGAGTTAGATTGTTCGAAAAGTAGTCCATTAATTGGGAGTGAACCTCTGCTTCATTGACCAAGTCAGAAAGAAGAGAGGCATCCAAACGCCATATCTTAGAACGGGAATGTTTCTCCGGAAATCGTAATGTCATAGTGATAGGGTGATGATCAGAGAGGATCATCGGTTCGATGGAAGAATCATGGAGGAAAGAGAGGCCAGATTGCGTGATAAAGAGGTAATCGATTCTGGAATATTTGCTGTGTGGAGTGGAGAAAAATGTATAGTCTTTGACATTCGGGTGGAGGACTCGCCAAGAGTTGTGAAGTTGCAGATCTTGAAGTTGAGTGTGAATCTGTCTAATGGATTTATATGGCAAGAAAGAGCTTCCCGAGGAAGAGTCCAATAAAGGACATAGGGAAACATTAAGATCACCTCCCAAGACTAGGTTACCCGTCTGGAAGGAGGAGAGTAAAGAGGTAATGGAGCGGAAAAAGGATACCTGTCTAGTGTTGGGTGCGTAAAGATTTTCTAAAGTGATGGGCCTTGTAACAGAAGCGTAGGCAGGACAGAGCACACAGAGAAGATGGGGAACACACAAAACTTTATTGAAGCAACAAAAGGACACTCAATGGGGAAATGGCAGGGAGGGTGATGTGTGCGCAAACCAGGGACGATTCCAGGCACGGGGGGTCTTCAGCGACAGGCAGGCAGTCTCCCCCCTAGGCTTGGGGCCTCAGCCGAGCGCCCTCTGTGACTGGACAGCGGATTGGAGACTCGGGCAACAGGCGGCAACCTACCACTGGGCAGGGGCCTCGGGCAACAGGCGGCAACCTACCACTGGGCAGGGGCCTCGGGAAACAGGCAGCAATCTACCCCTGGGCAGGGCCTCGGGCAACAGGTGGCAACCTACCACTGGACAGGGGCCTCGGGCAACAGGCGGCAACCTACCACTGGGCAGGGGCCTCGGGCAACAGGCAACAACCTACCACTGGGCAGGGGCCTCGGGCAACAGGCGGCAACCTACTACTGGGCAGGGGCCTCGGGCAACAGGCGGCAACCTACCACTGGGCAGGGGCCTCGGGCAACAGGCGGCAACCTACCACTGGGCAGGGGCCTTGGGCAACAGGCTGCAACCTATCACTGGGCAGGGGCCTCGGGCAACAGGTGGCAACCTACCCCTGGGCAGGGGCCTCGGGCAACAGTCGGCAATCTACCCCTGGGAAGGGGTCTCGGGCAACAGGCGGAAACCTACCACTGGGCAGGGGTCTCGGGCAACAGGCGGCAACCTACCACTGGGCAGGGGCCTCGGGCAACAGGTGGCAATCTACCCCTGGGCAGGGGTCTTGGACAACAGGCGGCAACCTACCACTGGGCAGGGGCCTCGGGCAACAGGTGGCAATCTACCCCTGGGCAGGGGCTTGGGCAACAGGCAGCAACCTACCACTGGGCAGGGGCCTCGGGGACTCAACGGGACTCTAGCTGTGGAGTCTGGCCACAGCACAGCTCCCACCCAGCTTTCTAGGGTCATTGGGTTCACGGGGACTCAACGGGTAGCGATGGCTCAAGCACTCAGGGGCACCACAGGCAGGTATACTCCGGCATGCCATCAGGACACGGGTGGTCAGTACACACAGAGTGGGGCAGTTCGGAACACGGGTGGTCGGTGCACACAGCGGGGACAGTTCAGGACACGAGTGGTTGGTGCACACAGCAGGCACAGTTCAGAGCACGGGTGGTCGGTGCGCACAACAGGGACAGTTCAGGACACGGGTGGTCGGTGCACACAGCGGGGAGAGTTCAAAACACGGGTGGTCGGTGCACACAGCGGAGACAGTTCAGGACACAGGTGGTCAGTACGCACAACAGGGACAGTTCAGGACACAGGTGGTCGGTGCACACAGCGGGGACAGTTCAGAACACGGGTGGTCGGTGCACACAGCAGGCACAGTTCAGGACACAGGTGGTCAGTGCGCACAACAGGGACAGTTCAGGATACGGGTGGTCGGTGCACACAGCGGGGACAATTCAGAACACAGGTGGTCGGTGCACACAGCGGGGACAGTTCAGGACACAGGTGGTCAGTGCGCACAACAGGGACAGTTCAGGACACAGGTGGTCAGTGCACACAGCGGGGACAGTTCAGAACACGGGTGGTCGGTGCACACAGCGGGGGACAGTTTAGGACACAGGTGGTCGGTGCGCACAACAGGGACAGTTCAGGACATGGGTAGTTGGTGCACACAGCTGGGACAGTTCAGAACACGGATGATCGGTGCACACAGCGGGGACAGTTCAGGACACAGGTGGTAAGTGCGCACAACAGGGACAGTTCAGGACACGGGTGGTCAGTGCACACATCAGGGACAGTTCAGGACACGGGTGGTCGGTGCACACAGCGGGGCAGTTCAGAACACGGGTGGTCGGTGCACACAGCGGGGACAGTTCAGGACACTCACGGTAAGCAGCTTGCAGACCCTCAGCAGCAGGCGGCTCCAGACAGGGACGACCAGCAGTCAGCGTTCCAGGGACAACCAGCGATCAGCAGACAGCAGCAGCTCCCAGGGCACTTAGCAGCAGACAGCTTCCAGGGACACGCAGCCACGGACAGTGTGCAGGGTCCCTCAGCAGCAGCTCCCAGGGCGCTCAGCAGCAGACATCCTCCAGGGACACGCAGCCACGGATAGTATGCAGGCTCCCTCAGCAGCAGCCAGGGTGCAAGGGTGCTCAGTAGACAGGCTTACAGACTTGCAGGGTCTCAGCTGTGGGGTCTGACCATTGAGGGGAAGGCTTATGCAGAGCTGTGGAGACTCCCATCCCTGGGGTATTGCAGAGGGCTACAGTCCTGACCTTTTGGGGGTCTGCAGAGTGCGCAGGGGGGATGGCTGGAGAGGCTCCGTCCCCCTCACCCGAGCCTCCCAGCATCTTTCTGGGAGCAAGATGATTCCAGCAGCATGGACAGGAACAGAGAGAGAAGGGCTGCTTCCTGTGCGGGGCTTTTGAAGACCATGTGGGACGTGGCTAGGTTGCCTCGGCAACAGCCGGCCCAGCCCTGTCCATGGACGCCCCACAGACTTCGGAATGTGCAAGGGGGAAGGGAAGGGTGGATGGATATGGCGGGGGATGGGAGAGGCACTGGCAGTCCGTGACAGGCCTATTAGCAAAATTACCTTTTAGAAACAGGAATCTACCATCCGGATCCGGAAGTGACTCTGAGATAACCAGAGGGAGGTGCTTTGCAATGAAAATGGAAACGCCTTTAGATTTAGCATGAGGGTTAGGAGCATGATAAACTGTCGGAAACAGGAGTTAGTAAGCTTGGGTATGGCATCGTGACGGAAGTGCATTTCCTGAAGAAAGACAATATCCGCTCTCTGTTTAAAAAGGTGCGAAAGCAGGAGAGAGCGCTTTTCAGGGGTATTCAGATCCTTCACATTAATAGACAGAACTTTCAGCGAAAGATGTCCTGACAGGGAGTTGAGAGAAGGCATGTCCGGGTGAGTAAAGGGAACCTAAAGGGATGGGAAAGGGGGTATGGGGAAGAGAGAGAAGAGAGGAAAGAGAAAAAAAAAGGGGGGTTGGGGGGGAGGGGGAGAAGAAGGAGGGAGAGGGGAAGGAAAAGAAATGAAAAGGAAGAGGGAAATGAGGGGAGAAAAGAGAGAGAGAGAGAGAGAGAAAGAGAGGGAGATAACTGGCAGTGGGAATAGACCAGCTGACCCACCAAGATACGGGAAGGAGGAAAGAAGAACAAGAAAGAAGAAGGGGTAGGAGGGAAATAGCAGAAAAAGGAACAAGGAATGTGTCAGGGATGGGGGTGTGACCAGAAGTGTGTGAACTGACACAGGGAAACGCAAGCTTCAGATATGGTATAAATAAGACAATTTATTAAGACTAACAATACAAACATAAACGCAGTGCACCAAACCCCAAGCTAACACAAATACATACAACAAGGTGAAACAAACCCAAACCTAAACTGATAAAGATACACAGGTACATACACATATAGAGCACAACGTAGTCAGGCAGGCCGGGTCGATAACTATCGGGCAGGTAGGTACAGGAGGAGCAGGCGGAGAGAATGGTCAGGGTCACAAGCCAAGGATCAAACAGGAGAAGTCAGCAGAGGTCAGGATCAGGCAGGGTCGGCAACAAGTCAGGCAGGAACAGGAATGCAGGTTACAAGGTACAGGGGCCCATGGAAAAACACACACCAAGGCACAGACTGCAGGTCTGGCCATCCCTTAAATACACCACCTGCAATCAGCCCCAGGTGATGGCTAATTGCCGAAGTGAACCTCTGGTTGTTGAGAGCACCTGCTGGCCAGCCCTGGTACTGCAGCCCACAAGGCAGGTGAGTCCCACCACTATTGGCAAGTCCATTCCTGACAGTACCCCCCCCTCAAGGAGCGGCCTCAGGACGCTCCAAACAGTCCTAGCTGGGCAAAATGTTCCACCGCCCGGGTCCGGTGACTGGCGGGATATCAAAGACTGGCACATCGGGCTGGACACCGGACAGAGGCACTTTGGGCATGACACTGGACGGAGGCACTTCGGGCATGACCCTGGACGGAGGCACTTCGGGCTGGACACCGGACGGAGGCACTTCGGGCTGGACACCGGACGGAGGCACTTCGGGCTGGACACCGGAAGGAGGCACTTCGGGCTGGACACCGGACGGAGGCACTTCGGGCTGGACACCGGACGGAGGCACTTCGGGCTGGACACCGGACGGAGGCACTTCGGGCTGGACACCGGACGGAGGCACTTCGGGCTGGACACCGGACGGAGGCACTTCGGGTTGGACACCGGACGGAGGCACTTCGGGCTGAACACCAGAAGGAGGCACGTTGGGCTGGGCACCGGACGGAGGCACATCAGGCTGGACGCCGGATCACCAGGTGGAGCAGCAGGCACCAGGCCACCAGGCGGAGTGGCGGGCACCAGGCCACCAGGCGGAGCGGCGGGCACCGGGCCACCAGGCAGGGCAGCAGGCACCGGGCCACCAGGCAGGGCGGCGGGCACCGGGCCCCAGGCGGAGCGGCGGGCACCGGGCCCCCAGGCAGGGCGGCAGGCACCGGGCCCTCAGGCAGGGAAGCAGGCACTGGGCCATCTGACTTGACAGCGGGCATCGGGTCACCAGGTACAACAGCGGGCACCGGGTCATCAGACATTGGATCGATTTGCTCGACCGCGGGCACCAGGTCATCTGGCTCAACAGCGGGCATCGGGTCACCAGGCACGACAGCGGGCATCGGGTCACCAGGCATCAGGTCATCTGGCTCGACAGCGAGCACCGAGTCATCTGGCAAGGCAGTGGGCACCGAGTCACCAGGCGTGACAGCTGGCTCTGAGTCAACTGGCACGACAGCGGGCATCGGGTCACCAGGTATGACAGCGAGCACTGGGTCATCAGGCATTGGATCGTCTGGCTCGACAGCTGGTATCGAGTCATCAGGCACGACAGTGGGCATTTGGTCACCAGGCATGACAGCGGGCACTGGGTCATCAGGCATTGGATCGTCTGGCAAGACTGCGGGCACTGAGTCATCTGGCAAGACCGCGGGCACCGAGTCATCTGGCAAGACCACGGGCACCGAGTCATCTGGCAAGACCGCGGGCTCCAAGTCATCTGGCAAGACCGCGGGCTCTGAGTCATCTGGCAAGACCGCGGGCTCCGAGTCATCTGGCAAGACCGTGGGCTCCGAGTCATCTGGCAAGACCACGGGCCCCGAGTCACCAGGCACAACAGCGGGCTCCTAGTCAACTGGCGGAACAGCGGGTATCGAGTCGTCTGGCAAACCTGCGGGCACTGAGTCGTCTGGCAAGACTGCGGGCTCCGAGTCAACTGGCAAGACAGCGGGCACCAAGTCAACTGGCAAGACAGCGGGCACCGAGTCAACTGGCAAGACAGCGGGCACCGAGTCGTCTGGCGGAACAGCAGGCATCGAGTCGTCTGGCAAGACTGCGGGCACCGAGTCGTCTGGCAAGACTGCGGGCACCGAGTCGTCTGGCAAGACAGCGGGCATCGAGTCGTCTGGCAAGACTGCGGGCACCGAGTCGTCTGGCAAGACTGCGGGCACCAAGCCGTCTGGCAAGACTGCGGGCACCGAGTCGTCTGGCAAGACTGCGGGCTCCGAGTCAACTGGCAAGACAGCGGGCACCGAGTCGTCTGGCGGAACAGCGGGCATCGAGTCATCTGGCATAATAGGATCATCAGGCTGGATCAGTTCATCAGGCTGGGTAGAGACATCATGCTGGGTAAGGACATCAGGCTGGGTAAAGACATCAGGCTGGGTAGAGACATCAGGCTGAATTGTGGGCGACGAGGCACCAGGCTGCACCACGGAAAGCGAGTTCTCAGATGGCAGGCTGACCGGTTTGGATACTGGCAGGATGGTATTGGTTGGAAAGAATTTTCGCCTTTTCCTGGTTTTAGTTACCAGAGCACTGTAAGTAAGTGCAGGTTTGTAAACGGATGGAGCAGCTGAAGACAGAGAAGAGCTGGAGGATGGAACAGAGGAGGGGGCAG